TAACATAAAAATACAGAAGAGCATGAAAAGTGTTCAAGAGATATTAATGCTCCTCTGATCTCTTTCAAGTGAGGGAGTTATAGGAAGTAACATGAAGAGAAGGAACATCAGAAGGTCAATAGAAACAGAGCTGGAGGATATAATAGAGTCTATGGTAGAAGAAATGTTCACATCTCTCTTTCTTGATGGGATTCTATTCTTCTCCCAATCATACTGTCAGAGCCAAATCCTGCAGAACGTTCAGAAACTCCTGTGAGGTGTTTGTGTCCAAGAATGGGAATTGAGGGAGTCCCCCAGCAACTTACACAATAAGGATCTTTGCCTGGTTAGGTTTTGGACCATATGGTGTTTGCTTTAAGCACTTCTGCAGGCATCCCACACAACTCCCTCGTTGCTAAACTTAGTACCTCCATACCCACTCTCTGGTGCCCAACAACCCCCTTGTGGCACAGCATGAAGATAGTGATCACAAAAATCTTCACCCCAACATTGCACATGGGCTGCTACTTTTGATTATGACATCTCTCTGACCTTGGAGAATTGTCCTCTGAACAAGCAGGTATTAGCCTCATATCAAAGAATCTAAGACCCAATTTGAGCTGTCAAATAAAAGCAGCTTTTGATTGCAATTATAAACTAAAACATAATTAAAATAAAACTTTTTTTTAGGTATGCACGGTAAAAAGTGACCTCTGTTCTCTCAAGGACTGACTAACCAGAAAATGTGTCATTGTTTTAATGCCTTCTTGTTTGTCTAAGAACTGTGAAGTGAAGTGACATGGTATTATGCCATACGCCCTCATCAAGCCAGAATTATATTACTAGTTTCAGATGACTCAAACCTTGTCACACGCACCTGCTGTTGCCTTTTTAATTAATTCTTTCCCCTTGCACTAAATATTATTTCACATCTTGGAGATGGATCATGAGAAACTAATGTCACTTGACCTTTGACATTTTGATTGTATATCATTTAATATTTGTTGCTCTTTTTTTTTTTTTTTTAACTCTTTGGTGCAGTCCAATACTTAGCACCATGAGGCACTAATCCTGATATGGCATTACTTTATTTAAAATGTAATTGAAAACAAACATTGTATATTGTACCCACCCTCAATAAAAAAATTAGTTCTTTAGATAAAAATAGTAGTGATAAAACCTATCAGAGTATCTTATGATTATATAAACACTCAGACATAACCGTAATTTGTCTCCCATGTGCTAGATGGAAACTAATCCTACAAAGTTCTACTGCTAAGTAGTGCACTGCAAATCCAAAGATATCTACTTTATATCCATGAATATCCTCATCCATGGAAATAGACATGGATCGCCGCAGACCAAGTTTGTGAAATGCAGATACAAATTTTGTATCCATGCAGGGCTCTACTGCTAAGAATAAACTTGGTATTGGTCTAACTCATTCAAGTCAAATATCAAAGTGGGTTCAAAACTTCAAGTTCGAATTTAAATATGATTGGATTTATATTCTACATAGGAAAGACTGAAAAAATGGTACAGAGAGGGGAAAAAAAACAAAGAAAACAGATGAAAGAAATGAAATAAGTAAACAAATGAAAACAGGAGTGAGCAAATCAAAAATATAGCAGAATTGCATGAAAATCTGAAGAGAAATGAAGAGTGTAAAAAACACACCACTTAAAAAAATACTACAATACTATGCTTGGGCCCACTTGGACCCAGCAGTCTTTGGGGAAGGAGAGAAAGAAAGAGAGGGTTGTTCATCTAGCCCTAACTCATAACATTAGTTACATCTGGCATTCAGGGTACACGTCTGGCTCTGTTGATCTGTTAGCCATCCTGCAGCAAAAAAACTTCAAAACCAGACTTCAGAGAGAAACTGCTGAGCTACAGTTCATCTGCAAATTTGACACCATCAGCTCAGGATTAAACAAAGACTGTGAATGGCTAGCCAATACAAAAGCAGTTTCTCCTCTCTTGGTGTTCACACCTCCAGATCAGCTGCTAGAAGTGGGCCTCATCCTCCCTGATTAATTTACCTCATTATCTCTTGCCTGATTCTTGCCTGCATATTTATACCTGCCTCTGGAAATTTCCACTACATGCATCTGACGAAGTGGGTCTTTGCCCATGAAAATTTATGCTCTAATACATCTGTTAGTCTATAAGGTGCTACAGGATTCCTTGTCACTTTTGCAGATCCAGACTAACACAGCTACCTCTCTGATACTAAACTGATGTAACTTACACCTTCTTCCAGCCCTCTCAATTTATACCAATTCAGACTCGGACCTAATTACTGAGGTAAATCAAACCCCATTCACATTGCTTCTGATTTTCATCCATTGAGTTATGTCTACAGGAACTGAGGCTGGTGTAATTTCTACTCAGAGGGCTAGGAAGAGAAGGGTAATAAATGGAGGAAAAAGATGCAAGAAAGTGTAAGTTAAAGTGCACCATTCTTTTCCTTAACTTACACATTCTTAGCTTAAAAGCTACACTCAGAGTCTCTTACACCCACTTACTGATATGTAACTTACGTGTCACTTCTGAATTCGTCCCCAAGAATAAAACCAGTGCATTTACTAAAGAGCCCTAGACATACTGATCCTTTGTGGTTTTTCACTGATCATTGTACTCTGTTTGGCTCTGAATGTACCTTCTTTGAACACTCAACTCTCCTTTGTCCCCATTTTGTGTGGGTTAAGTTTTCATTTTCAGCTCCTTTCTAAACTCTTTATTCCAAACCCTGTAATCTTTCTCCTTAGCCAAAAAAAAAAAAATCTTTTTTTGTTCCCTTATGCTCGTGACAACCACGGACACTCCATTTTCTGGCTGACAGCCACCAAATTTGTAACACTTTTAGATATAGTCTTTGCAATTTTTGTTCTTGTCATTTTCTTCATGTCTGTAGCTAGCTAATATGTAGCAAATGACAAAACACAGTCAATTTGCACTCAATCCTCTGATGTCTTCCAAAAATAAGCTCTTCAAATTCCCACATAAAAATTTTCTACACACCTTCTAAGATGCCTTTGGTCACTCAAAAACTTCACCTAAAGCTAGAAAGATGGTCAATCACAACACTGTAGCTGGATGACATCCTATACAGGAGCTGCAGCCTCTCTGCATGCAGCAGAATTGATTAATAGAGTCTCATGATCTCCTTTTTAGTGGAAGCCACATACTTTGGAATATTACAAGACCTACTAAAGGCTGCAAGTTCTCAAACCACAGCTTCCTTGCAAGTGCAGTATGAACCCAAACTAAACTTGATTGACACTGTTTGGTTCAATTTGCATTTCACTTGCCCAGCCTCTTTAGTTCCTACCCATTACAAGCTACCCTTTATGTGAAGAGAGATAAATCAACTATTGTACCCTTTCCTCTGACTTTAACTCTGTCATAAGCATAATTTGCCAACTTTGTATAAGTCATCTAAACTCTGTGTATATTATACCCTAGGGCTGATGATCCATTTTCACTTTCCTTGACTACCTGGAGCTTATCCATTCAAACCCCAGTATCACTTTGTTCCCCTTCACTCATTTTGCCTGTCTGAAATCTGACTTTGCTTCTGTACCTTCTTAGATGCTAGAACAGAAGTTCTTTCTTCAGCAATGGTTTCATTTATTCTCCTCCTGACCTTCAGTCAATTATGCTCCAGCGTGTACCCAATTTCTTCTATTGCTAGTTACTACTAAGGGAAATGGCTAACTACTCCCAGGACACCCAAGTTCCTATCAATAGCAAATTCTCTTAACTCATCTGCCCTTAGTCAAAATGCACCTCTGTTCACTGTCCTGTAATCCTTCTGAGACCATCATGGGACTAAAATCCATCCTCACTGATGCAACCAGTGGTGGTCTAGCCATTATTAGCATAATTAATACTGGCTCATACTTTTCCATCTGTCCTGATATTTTTGAAACACTGCAGAACCTGTTCTTTTGTTAAAGTCTGACACAATGCTTTGGAAAGAAATCTGAACACCTAAACATACAACACTATTGTTTGCCAAACTGGCCATAGGCTTTAATGCCCCATCCACAGCATAACAAACACTGTATTAATCAGAGAGTCAGTATTTTGGAAGGCTGATCCTGCCGTGTGGGTAGCTACAGAGGAGGCAGCAACAGAAAAACAGTTATCTTCATCCTCAGCATTAAGGAAGAAGAGGAGGCTAGCTCTCTCCCCCCATAGCTGGCTGGGAGAGACCTACTCTTCAAAACACAGGCAAAACAGAGTTTTTGTTTCAGTCTCAGGTTTGAGTTCATTGACATTTGTTTTAAACACAGGCTTGTCTAGATTTGTTGGCCAATTTATAGTTTGGCCTCAACTGACAATTAAAGCTATTATCCATGCCCAAAGATGCCAGTCAAATAACATTCATTCTTATACACATACTTGATCTTCAAAAATTCAGGACATTATTTTCTCAATTCAGAACGAAACTCAACTGCAGTTTGATCAGTAGTTCTCTCTCTTTATAATCATTTGCACCCAACACAAGATTGTATTCTCCAGATACTTAGTACCCCATCTTGTTAGTCTTTTGAGAAACTTCTACATCTTCATCATTCAGTTATTTCCTTTGTTTCATTTCTTTATTTTTGCTGATTTCCTATACTTCTCAGGGATAACTCTGCACAATTTGTGTTTACTTCGGCAAAGTCCAATATGCTCTCAATGTTCTACATGGCAAGTCTCCAGTAAAAATAATTTCTACAACAAGATCAATACTGTATTTACTTTTATCCTTTGCCATGCATACACTGTATTTCCAATTTCATGTCAGGTTATTTATTAGTTCCTCGAAACCATTTTCTTTATTGTGCATTACTTTCTCCCTTCCAAGAGGAGTTTATAGTTTCTGTGCTATATTATGATCCAAAATTTCACCACTGCATAACTGACATGGTCACACACAAAAAAAGATTTCACATCTTTCCAGAAATTTACAAGTAGCCAAACTAATTCTGTAAAGAGCATCCAATTTACTGTTTTCATTTCTTTCCATCCAATTACACTCTAGAATCCTACTTTTTCTATTTCCATCTTTGTGTTAGGTTCACATAAAAAATTAGATTGCCCTACCAGATGTTCATCTTCACTGCTGGTTTCTTGATAGCTTCCCATCACTCATTGTCCTTTCCACTTTTACCTTGAACAATTTTCCTTCTCAACTAGAGTTTCTTCCACAGCCATTTCCTCCATGCACTACTTGACTCTCTCAAATTCTATGGATAATGAGTTTTAAAAGCTTGCTACTTATTAAGGCTTGGTATCCTGAATTATAATAGCAGCACTACTTTCCCAGTTAAAGTATTTGGTCTGACATTTGTAGGGATAACATATTAATGTATTGAAAATGATTTCCCCCAAATGGAAGTGACTCCCCATAATTTGTTCCCCACAACTTAAAGTTAAGTTATTAGTTAAGATTGTTAAATGTTTAGATTTATTATTATTATTGCCCCTTTAGAATATAATCTATTAGGTCATGTATCTTAGAACTGTTACGAATATAATCCTATGTAGCCAGAAACAGCCCCCCCCTGTGTCCCAGGGCATGCTCAAGCTTGTGCAAGGGGCTGCTTGAAATTGACATTGCAGAGATACATTGTAACAATGCATTGTCAAGCCACTAACTCTGCTATGGGAGCCAAGCCCTGTAATTGACTAAGGGCATTGTTACATAATTGACGCCTGTTCTCTTCAAAACAACTGTAACTAACTCAGCACTCAGACAATGTTTCAAGAAATGCCACCCAGAAACTTGACTTTTTTGTAACTACAACTCTTAAATATGTAAAGTTGTTATTATACAAAATACTGTATGGGAAAAATTAATTAGGGAATGTATGTGAGAGAGAGAGAGTGCTTGGACGATGAATGAATGGTTCTGAGAGGTGCCAGCCTGAGAATACAGCAACAAAGGGCTGAAGAAGGCATCAGGTGCCAGTGCAACCAAAAGGTGTCAAGTGGAGAAAACCAAGTACTGGAGGTCCACCCGATGAGATCACTGATGAGCACCTGGCAGCCACCCTGGAGACATCAGCATACTGCAGCAATTTCCATAGACTGGCATAGGAAGAAATTCCTATAAGAACTGGACTAAAAAATTATGGAATCAGAGTCCAAGGTTCTGCTGCCAGCCCACCAGGAGCTTCAGATACGCATCTGATCAGGACTTCGCTCCCCACTACCATCACTTGTGTACAGAATACCTGGCCAGTATTCTGTCACAAGCAACTTCCAGGCTGGTAACTATACACAGAACTTGAATGAATGGATGTATGAATGAATGTTTCTCTCTCTCTCTATATATATATATATATAAGTGTATAAGGGTTAAGTAGTGATAGGAATAAGTAGTTAAACAACATTGTTTGCTTCTATCTTTATTTTTTTATTATTATCTTTACAATAAATGTGGCTTTTTGCCTTATCCCCCTCATAAGATCCTGCTTGCTTTTATTTGGTACAACAAACACATTCACTTGGATCATTATTCCACTTGCCCATCCTGCTACATGTGATAGTAGCAGACCTGAGCACTTCAACCGTATAACTTTAAATGATAAAGTCCCATTTTCAGAGACTAGGCCAATAGACCATGGCACTCTAATGCTGTGTCTGAATAATTTCAAAGACCCAGTAGAAGAAGAAATAGTGGAGAATGAAGAGACCTTCCTAAGGTGAAGCTACTTACTCTGGAAAAGTTAAGGGGAATGTTGCTCCCTACTTCCCAGAGGTCACAGGAAAGACTGGGGATAGAATGGAGAAAAAAGATGACAGGTGCACTCACGACAAAGTGCAAGATGATGAACTGGGGGTAGAAGCACCCACTAAGTTAGGTGTAAGATAGGTGAATTTTTGAGGAGACACTAAGATAAGGAGTCTTCCTGTTTCCTGCCTTGCAGTGAGGGGAAACACATGGGCTGTGTCTACATTGGCACCCCTTTCCGGAAAAGGGATGCTAATGAGACACTTTGGAATTGCAAATCCGCGGGGGATTTAAGTATCCCCCGCGGCATTTGCATTTACATGGGTGCCGCTTTTTTCCAGCTCGGGGTTTTTGCTGGAGAAAAGCGCCAGTGTAGACGCGATTTTCCGGAAAATAAGCCCTTTTCCGGGAGATCCCTTATTCCTACTTTCAAGGGAATAAGGGATCTCCCGGAAAAGGGCTTAGTTTCCGGAAAATCGCGTCTACACTGGCGCTTTTCTCCGGCAAAAACCCCAAGCCAGAAAAAAGCAGCAGCCATGTAAATGCAAATGCCGTGGAGGATATTTAAATCCCCCGCGGATTTGCAATTCCGAAGTGTCTCATTAGCATCCCTTTTCCGGAAAGGGGTGCCAATGTAGACACAACCAGTAGGAATAAGGGATCTTCCGGAAAAGGGCTTATTTTCCGCAAGATCCCGTCCAGACTGGCGCTTTTCTCCGGCAAAATCCCGAGCCGGAAAAAAGCAGCAGCCATGTTCATGCAAATACCACAGGGGATATTTAAATCCCCCGCAGAATTTGCAATTCCAACTGGTCTCATTGGCATCCCTTTTCCGGAAAGGAGTGCCAATGTAGACACAGCCATGGAGTCTGATTAGATTCCTATTTGAAAATGCCACATAGAACAACTCAGATAGGTAAATCATCAAAATACCGATGAAACATGAGAATGTAATTTTCACCCAGTAAAGCTGCTTCTTGTTTTTCTTTGCCAGGTGTTTCATCCATGAATACACAAACCCTGATCTATTCTGTAGATAAAACCCAAATTGGAGGCTATCAGGGCTGGCCTATGGGCAGAATGGGTGTACTGATCAGTTACCAAATTGCAGGCAAGTGATAAATACCAGAATTGGGGTTAAGCCACATCAGGATACCAATACATCAGGGTTGGCACCTGATTACAGATAACAAGCAAACAGCAAAATCCAGGCTAACCCAAGGTCAGAAGCCAGAGTCTAGGGTCTACACAGCAAGGCACAATCTGAAACAAAGACAAGCAGGCAGTCTGCAGTGTTGTTCAAACAGCTTCTCATGTTGGCTTTCTTGTTTATATAGCAGTATGCACCAGTCAGTGGACTGTGAGGGGCCAAAATAGCTCTGCTGGGTGTCACTTCCTCCAGAACTTAGCTTCCCAGCGTCCTTTATCAGAAACCCAGTCTAAACTTCCTATCCAGAAGCTTCAGTGGCCCAGACCCTCCCATCCCATGGCCCCAGGTTTTAGTCCCATAGTTCTTACAGAGGAATAGCAATGGGCAAAGCCAAGCAATGCAAGAGTAAAGGCTCAGTTGGCCCCCCAACAAGAGAAAATTTAAGAATAATAAACACAAAGCCTTATACCTAGGGAACAAAGAAAAGAGAAAAAAGGCAGAGAATGTAACCATACAGCCACAGCTAGTGCATTAATTAATTCTCATTGAAACTTACTAATATTTCTTCTCTCCCAACAAATAATCAAACCCCAATTTTGTAATAAGGAAAATATTGGGCCACTGAGGAAAGAGAAGTTGTTCCAGACTTATTTTCAGAAGTGGTTAATTATTTTAAAAAGTTTGAGAATTACAATTATCTGGTTTTAGATGGACACTTCCTGTAATCAAATTAAATTAGCTGATAATCAGGATCACAGGAAGTTATATGATCACCATCCAGTGGTTAGCATTATTATATTCAAAGAGATGGGCACATATGAAATATATTACACTTAGACTTACTGTGCCACAATCGACAGTGCAGCTCTCTGAACATTTGGAATCCATCAGTGGAAATTTTAGCCTCATTGGTTTCAGAAATTCCTGTGGCTTGATCACAGCCTAAGTGCAGACAATGTCTTCCGCTTCATGTGCCATGTACTGGGAGAAAAAAAATTTGATGACACATTCCAAGTAAGAGGTTGCAATGGCTAGAAAAATAGCATTGGAGGAATAAAAACAACATGAGGTCAGAGTCAAAATAGGACCCAGAAGAACACAGAAGCAACACAGTGTTTTCTTAAGGTATGTCTACATGGCAATAAGACACCTGTGGGCGGATGGCAATAAGACATGGCAATAAGACATCCCAGGCCAGATGACTTGCACTCAAGGGGCTTGGGCAGTAAAGCTATAAAACTGCTGTATAGACAGTCAGGCTTGGGCTAGAACCGGGGCTCCGGTGGGACTCTCCCCATTTTCAGGGTCTTAGACCCCAGGCCTCCAGCCCCTAATGTTCATGAAGGAGGGTCCCAGAAGTCAGGCTCCAAACCAAGTCTAAACATTTACATTTACATTTTACAGCCCACGAAGCTTCTTCTGTGAACTTAGAACAATTGCGCATGGATCTGTGATTTGACCAGGTGACTCCATACTCCATCTTCACATGTAATTTTCCACAGTAAGAACAATGGGATTCCTGCCACATGGCAGAAGCCATAAAAAACCCTGGAAACATCTCCATGTTGCCTCTTTCCTGCTCCAATCACAGGACTATGAACTATACTAATGGGAGAATTCTAACAAAGGGACTAGGGTCCTTCAATGATTTGGAAGCAACCAGAGACTTGACTTAAGCCAGCAGTTTGTTCCATCACTGCTACATTCCTGAACTAAGAACTCTGCAATTATTTTGTGTATTTGATTCCTTTAACAGGTTTCAACTCTCACCTTTCTCTCTTTTTATAAACAAACCTTTAAGTTTTAGATACTGAAGTGTTCGCAACAGCATGATTTTGGAGTAAGGTCTGATCTGACCTGCATGTATGGCTGGTTCTTTGGGGTCAGAATAACGTATTTGATAAGATGGGTTTTAAAGAACCACTCATCTTTACATTCACTGGGGAGATTTTTGGAGAGAAGGGGTGATACGAGGACTGAAATGCCTCAGCAAATTGATCTTCTGATTTCTTGTTAACTACAGTGAGAAAGAAGCTTACTTTTGTGACTAGTTTGGTATATCTTATGGGAGAATAACCACCAACATTTTGGTGTGTATTTGCTGGTGTGACCTGAATTTGGTGTTCTCAGTTGTAACTCAAGGACACAGTTACAGTGAGCTTAACCTACTCTGAGGAGCTGAATGAAAGGAAAAGAAGCTTAAGGGTATGTCTACACTGCATTCCTTTTTGAAATACCCTATTTTGGAAAAAGAAACACTGTCTAGACACGGTTATTTCAAAAGAAAACCCTTCTTTTAAAATTATCCTTACTCTTCATAAAATGAGGTTTAAGGGTAATTTCAAAAGAAGGTTTTTCTTTTGAAATAACCACGTCTAGACAGTGTTTCTTTTTTCAAAATAGGGTATTTTGAAATAGTGCCCGGATGCAATTATGCAAATGAAGCACGGGAAATTCAAATCTGTGCTTCATTTGCAATTTTGTTCACCTGCATTTGCATTGCTCTCTCAAAAGAGGAATGTAGTGTAGACATACCCTAAGAGAATGATGGAAGATGAGATCTACTTCTGCGACAAGGCAAACTAGATTCATAGGTCCTGCTAGAGGTTCATAGGCCCTACCTCTCCCCAATGCAGCAAAGAGCAGACTAGAAGTTCTCTATACAGCCTAAAGTGGCTGGAGAGAAGTAATCAAGCAGCAGGGCTGCTGAAGTGACCAATCAGGGCCAGAAGAAACCTATAAAAAGAAGCAGCCAGGGTAGAGCAGTCAGTTGCTGCCTGGAACACATAGAAGGAGGGTTAGATGCCTGGTGGACTCAAAAAATAGTAGGACTGCAAACAGCTCGCTGAAGGCAGGACTGAGTCCAGGGAACTGGTTTCAGAATCTAGCCAAACCAGGCAAAGGTTCTATGATGGTCCCTGAAGCCCTGGTTGAACAATAAGCTGAAAGAGCAGTAACTGAGACTACCAAGTTAGGCTCCCATAGGGTAGTTAAAGAAGGCAGTGTCTCTAATAAGGAAGCCCCATACTGGGGGGAGAGGGAGGGAGAACTAGAGATTATCTACTCAGAAGGGGGACAATGTATGTGACTTAGAAGGAGGTTTTAGTTGCTGAAGACCCACTGGGCCATGCTTGTAAGAGGCAGGTGCCACTCCATTATAAGAAAAAAAAGAAAAGCAGGCTCACACTTCACCAGAAAAGGGGTGCCCATGCAAAGTGGGTGCTGCCCCTTTCAAACTGAGTGATTGAAGGCACTTATCAGTCAGAAAGGGGGCACTTGTAAGAGGTGGGTGACAATCTCATTTTTACTCTACCAATTTAGATTCTCTCATGTTTCTTTGTATCCAGTTGCTGAGCTTGCACATCACCTCTGAATCAGATCCACTTTGTGAAGAATCTATAATTCACATTGATTTACCTGAATTATTAAAGACACGGTATAACCTGGACCTAACATCACTTAAAGTCTAAATTCAGTGGATCTCAATCTAATATGTGCAACTGAATGTGAGTAAGAATGGTGCACTTATGAGCATGTATACTACAATGCACCTGAAGGAAACTGTAGAATACAGTATCAGTCACTTTGATGTGTAATTAAAATGGCCAGGAGGATGGCAAAATCAGAGGTTATCATTGTTTATTAAAGTTACACAGAGAAATTGGAATTATAACAAACTAGAATAACTTAAGACACTTGAAAAATGTAATATGTCCACTATGTAGTTTCTATACAGATTGAAGTTATTACTGGTAGGCCAAAAATCCTCATGATCGCACCTTTTTGGTTATGGATGTCAACTGCAGTTATTAGGGAAGTCACGGAAGAGTCAGTTTGTTTAAAACTGTGAAAGAAGTTGGCTTAAGCACAAAATATTTCCAAGTCTAAAAGTATTTGAGCAGCATTATACATGAAGTTACCTCAGCTCTAGAGAGCAGCAACCAGACTCCATCAAATAGGGGTGACACCTGTTAAATATTATTGAAGGCCTTTCTTTCTGTAAAAGACAAAAGTGAAGAAGTTAAGAGACACTGCTAGTACTGCAGCAGCCTTGATGAATTCAGCAGATTCTGAATTGTCACTTAGTTTGTCAGCAGATCTCAACGGAGTATATGTACAAGACTGTATTTTACAGATACTTGCACAAGAATAGAAATAGAGTAAAGGCAATAACAGCAACAGAAGCTTTCCTGAAAGAAATCCAAACAAAGTACATGGACTCACTAGCTGACCATTTCAATATATTCTCATTTCAATATATTTTGAATCCAATATATTTTAAAAAACAGACTGGTCAATAGGGAATCATGCCAAGTTAGAGTTTCCAGGCATATTGATTTCTGCCATTCTAACAGTAAACTACATGAAATAGGGAAGATGTATGAGCATGTATTTACTCTGCTTCCTGCAGTTTGATAGGCTTATTCACTGAAAGCTTTGTCTTGACAAGAGCCAGCATGGTACTCTTTCAATACAGCATCTATTTGGAAACTTCATATCTGATGAAGATGAAGATGTAGACTTTATGAACTAAACATTTAAGGTTTTATTGATGTTCTGATGAATACTAATTTTCAGTGAAACTACCGGATGACTAAAATTAAAAATATCTCAAATACCCAATCAATTTACAAGACAATGATAGAGAAACATTTCTAATATGTGCAGATCATCATTACTACCTACTTCTTGCTTCAATAAAAATGTTTCCCTCTTTGCAAATATATGAAGTATCAACTTCTAACTACATTATTTCAGCATAGATCAAGTAACTTAATGGTACCAGCTATTGAAACAGATCAACAGAACATGTATGAATTATGCTAGGACATAGAGGTTCAGTCTTAGCCAATAACCACAACTCCTTACTCACAATTCTTTAAAAGTATACTTCAAGACACTTGGTTTTTGGGTAGCAGATATTTTAATTGATAATAGAATAAATGTTTATAGAATAATGAGGTGTTTTAATTTATACAAATATGCTGTAGAAGAGTGGACTCCCCATCGGTACACCTCCTCATGGCTGGGTGTGGTACAACAGCTGAGTCTTCTTTAGTGCCCCCCGCTGCTGCTGACTCCAGTCCTATAGTGGTGCACCTCTTCTAGCACTTGGCCCTCCAGCCAGATCACATTTTCATTCTGCACCTCTATCAGGGCAACAGAAAGTCCAACAACTAATTCCAATCCTGATGTCAAGTCTCCAGCCCCGACTCTAGGTACAGTGGATTTAATTGTGCTCTCTCTCTAGGCTCTGAGTTGTCCTTTCCCCCTTTAATATCAGAAAACCTCATTACACCATCCCAGTGGCTGGTAGGGGAATCTAGACCTACCCAACCCACTGCCTCCCTGGACTCCTTACCATTAGTCTTTCCTCAGACCTTTTCTCCTAGGTCCCTCCTGGGCTTTTTGTAATGAGCTTCTTGCAAAGATGTGGTTTTGATCTGTGTGTCAGGGTAAGCCAGAGGATCTTGTTCCAAACCTATGCCTCCCAGGTATCTCCACTTTCAAGTACATAGAGACTGCCAGGTTCTTCCCTCTCTCCCTGTAGCTCCTCAAACTCCAGTCCAAGTGTCCTTTACCATCACTGCATCTTGGGCATTGCTGCCTCTTGCTTCCTTCTACCTCAGGACAACCAAGCCCTTGCCAGAGGCTTCCCTGACCCTCTCTTCAGAAGCTTCCTTCTGGCTCAGAACCTTCTGCTTTTGGCTTTAAACTTCAGGCTTTCCTCAGCTTTTAGCCCAAGAGTGGAAACACCCAGCTACCTTCTCAACCAAGTTCCCTCCCAGGCTTGTTTTCACTATCAGGTACTCGTTCCTTTATGAAGACTGAGCTCCTTCCCAGTTGAGTTTGATCTTCAATTATATCTAACACTCATATAGGTGACTCTGGGTGTCCTAACTGGTCTCCAGTTTATTTTAAGCCATGGTTATCCAGTGTGGGGTTTAATTTAGTTTATCACAATACATATTTATTACATTGTTGTGAAAAGTTTAAAAAGAACACCAAGTTAGAGTCAAGCACTTAAAGCTAGGAAACACCAGTATTAAGCTTGTCTGTGCATTCTTAATCTAGTCCCTTAGGAATATGAATTATGAATTACATTATCACATACTATCTTTCCCACAGTACACCTGCCTCATTCAGTGCACAGGCTGGAAGTTGATCAAGGAATGAAGTAGGGATATATCACTAGCAGCTCCAACCTCTTGGCATTTGAAACAAGCTGTTTCCTCCTTGCCCCCTGCATTCTGGGACACCACTAAGAACAGTGCCCTGGTTCTCAGTTCCAGTGCTCAGGGTCATAGTACCTCTCCTTCTCAGATGCTGGCTGGAGCTGTTGAAAGGAAAGTTCCACTCAAGAACATAATGGCCATACCAGGAGAAAACAATGTTCGATCTGGACCACTGTCCTGTCTTCTAACTGTGGTTGATGCCAGATGCCAGTGATCCAGCCCCTTTCATCCAGTCCCAGCTTCTGGCAGAGGGAAGCTTAGGGACATCAAGAGTATGTCCATTTTAGCTAACAGCCATTGATAGCCCTATCCTTCCTCTGAACTGAATTATTTTTTGGACTCCATTATACTTTTGACCCTCACAATATTCCCTTGGCAATATGTTCCACAGGTTAACTATGCATTGTGTGAAGGAATACTTCCTTATGTTTGTTTTAAACCTGCTGTCTATTAATGCAATTGGGTAATCCCTGGTTCTTGTGCTGTGTGAAGGGATGAATAACACTTCCCCATTCGCATTCTCTATATCATTCATGATTTATAGACTTCTGTCACATATAAGCTCCTGCAGCCCTAGGCTGAAGCAGGTTCTGTTGCTCTGTGGAAATGGTGTGTGTGCAGTCTGACTATCATGTAGGATCTGTGAGTGGAAGGGAGAAGGCTCAGTGCCAATGGAATCATTGAAGAATGTGCTGCCATGGTATAACATGTTTCTACTGATCATGTGCAAACAGATTTTCAGAAGCTTATTGCTTTGATCACATTTGAGTAGTTTTTGTTTCGTTTTGTTTTGTTTCTCCAGGGATGTCAGACGTCATCCCCCTCACCAGTGCCCTCACCAGTGCAACTCCCCTGCCCAATTCCAAGACTCTGCTTTGAAGCATGGGTGTACTAGCACTTCTTAATCAAAGTTATAAGAATTTCTTTCATATGGGCAAAACAGTGCATTTTCCCCTCATCTCATTTTCAAAAGGGTTGAAGTGATTGAGCTAAAGATTAAACAAAAATAAGTTAGCCCGAGGCAGCATCCGGAACCGAAAATCTGAATGGTTTAAGTTTGGCCAAGTTCTAAGCAACTGAAAATATGGGCTAATGGAACATGTTGGGCAACATTAATTCTAGGCCTCACTGGCTGCACAACCTACCAATAACCCTAATAACCTACTAATAACCCTACCAATAATTCAGTGACAAAAAATAAACCAAGAATAGTTCGGACTTCCAGCCCTCATTCTGGAGAACTACATGAAAAACTGGACACTGTCATAGAAATACATTTAAATGATCATAGAAAGGAGCTTGCTATCTAAATCTAAACAGCATGAACACTGTTAATCATTAGTTAAATATGACTGACCAGGACTCATCTACACCTTGCATTTTTTGAGCAGTAGTGTTCATATTAGCAACAACTAATATGGACATGAACCAGTTCAATACCAGTTGTATTTATGTTTAATGACTTATTGATCATTTCTTCTTAACTTTTGGTCTGAAATGCCACACAATTATATTTTATGCCTGAAGAAAACACAGTCTAGAACTCAATCCAATTTTGCCTTTGCCAAGAAGTTTATTCACTCATTAGACCTTCTAACAATACAGGCAGTCCCCGGGTTACGTACAAGATAGGGACTGTAGGTTTGTTCTTACGTTGAATTTGTATGTAAGTCGGAACTTGTACATATTGTAGGGGAAACTCTAGCCAAACATTTCTCCAGAGCTCAGTTTTATTCTCCCACACCTCACTTCCCTCAGTCCTTTATTCTCAAGCTGAGGTGTCTGCTGAGAAAAGCCGCTCCGTGTCTCCCTGGTCTGCTGGGGGGGGCACTAGCTTCGCATCTCCCTGGTCTGCTGGGGGGAAGCAGCTAGTGCGGGGTTGCTTCACCCCGTTTGTAAGTAGGGATCTGATGTAAGTCGGATCCATGTAACCCGGGGACTGCCTGTATCCACAAATCCAAATATGCTTTTGATTGATTTTACAACACCAAGGAACATTTACCATGAACCCCTGTATTCAACAACTGCATTCTGATCAAATAAGTTAATTTGCTCAAAGAGACAAGACATCTCAATCCCTGACTTCAAGTAGAATAATTTTCTTTTTAAAAAGTGCCTCGTGGACATACAAAAATATGTAGGAAGTGTTGTTGTAGCCATGTCGGCCCCAGGATGTTAGACACACACAGTGTGTGAGGTAAAAATTGTCAATTAGACCAACTTCTGTTCATGAGACAGACAAGCTTTCAAGCTCCCCAGAGCTCTTCTTCAGGTCTGGGAAAGGTATTAAGAGTCACAGCTAGATACAAGAGCAAACAGATAGTTTAGCCTAAAAAGTTCACCCACATTTTAAGGGACTATTCAAGGTGAAGTGACCTATTAGCACCCCTGTAATCATCAGACAAAAAAGGAGGGGGGAGGGGATAGGTCAGTGAGTTTCTGATTATAGTAATAAACCCTAAATCCAGTGTTTTTAGTAAGACCATGATTGTTCGTGTCTAGCAAAGTTAAGAATTTAAGCTGCGAGGCTAATCTTTTAAAAGTGTTGTGTAGTTTTCTTTTTAAACTAAGGACTGATAGGTCAGTTATAGAGTGGTCGCTTTATAAGCAATGTTCACCCACTGGTGATCAGGATTCCCTATAAACTGAGCACTTGGGTGGTCACCCAGAACAGATTCAAATACTGCCTAGCTGATTGGCAGAGCTCCCACAGCTGTTAGCATGTGTTTCTACTGGTGGTGCACATCCACACCTACT